GATCAATACATTATTGGCTTTCGTACATTAGCCAACTGGGTGGTGCATGTTTGACAGCATGCTATTCAATGTCGAATGGCCTGAGGAGCAACAGGCGCACTTTCCGGAGTACTTTTGTTGCTAGCACTTTTGGGCAGCTGGATAAGTAACTTTTAGTGATGTCTTGTGAGCACATCAGTTTTCACCCAATAAAATCCATGGAACTTCGTACACCACCAGTTTGTATTTATGCGCAGGATTGTGGGATTCCCAGCCGGTAAAGACTAGGCGCCCTTCAGTAACTTACCACATATGGTAAGTACCGTAGAATGCATTTAGGACAGTGCGACACATTCTATGTAGCGCTTTCAAGTTTTGCAGAACTTCTTGTGATTGCTTTGGTTATTCGGAGGATCTTCGTCAAAGTTTCTGTATTCACATGACTGTTGGGTTGAACAGATATTTATTCTGTTCCACTGAATCTTTTTATTTTGGTAATTTAGGTAGAATGTAGTCCTGATCAACTGTTAGTTCTTGTAGCTCAGTGGATAGGTTACGGTTGTGTTAGCATAGTGACTTCTGGTTCGAGTTTTGCAGTGACCTAGGTTTTCATTTGAACTTCTATCAGTCGGTTTCAGTGGTAAGGATAGCAGACCAGTTGGTCTTTGTTAATCTTTGTAGAAAATGTCTTTGTGAAGATCTGGTTTCTCCTTGGGCGTTTTGACAGAAGATGCTCATACTGCTTGCTGAAGTAAGGAGTTCCAGTCGTTGACTACACGTTGGGAGAGACGCAGATTCACTGTAGGTTGATTCGATCGTGGTTTTTGAATTTTCTTGTGGTGCCCTCGGTGATAGTCAGTCGTAGCGGGGGAGAAAATACAGGACATATCAGTACCGAAGTCATGATTTAGAATACGAAATGCCAGTATGAGATCACCCTGTTTCCTACTGGAATAAGTTTGGCTGATCTAGTCGTTCCTCATAGGACAGATTCGGAAGGCCTGCCACAAGCTTAGCACCTACCCTTTGAACACACTCGATTGTGTCAGCATCCTTTTTTAGGCATGGGCTGGTCTCGTGGATGCAAGTGGGGTCTAACGTAGGTAGAGAAGAGTATTCTCAGCATGTCCTCATGAAAACTTTTTAAAGTTCTGCGGATGGACCATAATATACGGAAGCCCTTTGCTGGAGCTGATTACAGTTTGCCGAGGTTTTCAAATCATGACTGATGATGGCACCCGAGTCTTTTAGTTCAAAGACTAAGAGTAGTGGTGTACGATTGTCGAGCCCTGAAATCTGACTCCAAATTTCATATACGTGTCCAGATGCACTGTCGCCTATTTATAATTCCCGACACTGCTGATCCACCTGCGTCAGACAGCGTAAATATCAAGAGTTAACGCGAAGTATAAATCAGGATGTTGTATTGGTCAACGAGCGAGGAAAAGTCTTTATCAGTACAACTAAGCAAAAAACGTTCAATGAGTTGTTACATATATCAACACAATACAGTGAAATAAAAGTGCTACGTAAGTCCCTCCCCAGAATACAGATATAAGAGGGAATATCTGTGTTCGATATAAAATGTTATGAGGAAGGAAAATTTATTTTGAAGATATTAAAAACATAGAAGGAATGTTAAGGATATCTATTATCAGGATAGAACCTGATTAGAAGAGTGTTTATATGAAAACGAAGCCAAGGTTTTTAAGAAGGCTTTTGATGTGGATTACACAACAAAAACGGCAAATGTCAAAAGCGCGGGAAAATCCACTTCTTGTTTTCAAAGCGCGTGCGTTGTTGCCTACCAATCATACCATTCTGCCAAACAATTCTGTTATCTCACTCTTACTTATGACTAAATATGCTTGGTTGTGCGGGCATGTCATTTTATCATATATTCATGATCTCCAGGTAAGAATACCAATAAGTGATGTTGAGTTAAAGCCTCTTTTCTTTTAGGAAAGAGAAAGAAGTATTTTTGCATTTGTCTCATATGGTGCAGGATCTTGGGATACCTATCTCTGCCATACTGGTCCCATGTCTGCCTCCGTCTGAACCCATTAATTTTTCCTGGAATTGTCTCAGATATCAAGACTTCGTGTATGAAGTGTAGGGAACTGGGTTTTCTTTTGTTGCTAAGTTCCTGGTGTTGGAAGATGTTACTTAATAACCTTATATGTTTAAGACAAAAACTAGTGTCTTCGTGATAACAGAATATTTTCTATGCATTTGGATAAATACGTTTATGTTTGTGTTTACGATTCGGCGTTGAATTCGCTTTTGTTTAGATGTAGAGAACTGGTAAACTATAGTATGACGACCTCGTCTATAACCACTCCTCAACCTTAAATGCGACCAAGCAACTTGGTTATTACAGGCAGTTGAACCAAATTAAGTACGATTGGAAGGAGCGCCAAGCAAGTACCTCATTCCGTTGGTGCGTAAAAACACATGGTCAGTCGTTAGATGTGTTTTGTACGTCAAGGATGTCACCTTTCACCATTGTTATTCAACTTTTTCATTGGAGTGTGTACAAAGGTTTCCGTCTCGTCGTCTGTAATATAGAAGTCATGCATGGAGTTTTCAGGTGGGCGGGAACATCAGATGATGAGTTTGTGAACCTTTATCGACTGAGGTGGCTGAAATATGTGTTACGCATACCTAGTCACCGTGTGTATTGGCGTACAATGTTAACTGAAGCAGGTCTAAGCTAGAAAAGGTTATAAGTAGCCAAACTAAAACATAACACCGTTGCATGAAGTTTTTGACTGTTAGTGTGAGCCATGTAGGGAAATGTAGACTTCCTGGTTGGGTTTCCGTGTGACAGCAGAAAGTAGTGGTTGGAGATTATAGGTTACATGGCTCGGAATCGATCTCGTTGGTGTAGATGTATCCGCACATTATTCTAATCTTAATCGTCATACTGAATTCAATGTTTTCTTATTCGTCTTTGTTGTCTTATCACGATTTTATAGCACTTTCGACTGCTTTCTTTATCTTTGGTTTTCATGCTTTCTCGCTTGGTGCGCTGATATGAAGTATAGCAACGAGAAGCGTCACGCAGTAATACCAGCTCCCCTGTTTATTCTGACTTTTAGTCTTTTTTACAGAGGACCATATTGGTCATATTGTTGAAATCTCTCTGTTTTTAACGTAAAGTATGCTAACCTGGGTTAGAGGCCTTTGTTTTAAGCAGGGCGGGCTACCGCTGATGTTGAGAAACGTCAATCGGAGCACTGAGAGTTGATCTTATGTTCATCTGTGTTTCTAACAAAACTGTAATGCTCATTTATGTTGAATTATCACATAGTACACAATAACAATAGTAATAACAACGACAACAATCTAGCCTGAAGATGTACCATTCTTGACAGGGAGTAAAATGTATTGAAGTGTCTTGGATACGGTCAAAGTTGTGTGGAGCTTTTTTCATTGATGACTAAAGACATGTTAGTACGCAATTAGTCGACATATATGTCTGGGTAAATGCTTTGTATAGGCTCTTCCATCTGGACTTACATTTGGACACAATCTAGTTACAACTGAAAGATGGGTCACTTTTATTTTTTGTACAATACAAACATTGTTGTACTATTTGTCAGTAGTTTTGTACTATCAGAAATCTAATGGATGCTACTAATCACTTGCACGAACTGATCCTATGGATGACTAGCTATAAACTTTTTCACTTATCAGGGACTTATTTTCTTTGTATTCTGAAATAAGTAAGGCATTTTTGAGCCTTATTTTCTGGTCGGTGGTGAAATTTACCTCTAGAATGACGTCTACAGCTAAATGGAGCATACTAGGGAGTCTTTTACAGCAATGACTCTTGATGGGTTGAGTAGAGATTTTTTCATGGTTAGTGGGATGGCACTAATAGTTTTAATATACAGAACAGTATATCAAAGTTATAATGTATGCACTGAGGTTCACACCCATCCAATCACTGGTAGAAGTATAGGTATTTAGTTGACGTTGCAAGGGATACGGTTGACTGTATCTATGAAAAACGTTGTAGTTATCCACTTGATGCAAGTAAATTCATAAACTTAGAATTGAAGGCATTTTAGCTGTTATGATTATTTGAAATATTCCGAACATTTTAGATATTGTGAGTGTTACGTATTAGGTTACAAAGTCAATCTACCATGTGATAAGTGCTGATGGTTGGTTCAAAGTGGTACTGTTAAGGATGCCGATATCCTTTCTATTCTATACTTAAAGTTCTGTATATATTTGAACTGTTTATTCGTGCTCTTTTCCGCACATGGGTCACATTTCGTATGACCCACTATTGTTCTGATTGGCTCCTGACTCTTTAAATGTACTAATGATTCCTTGTCTTTAAAGGTTATTGTAAACTGTAAATAGGGTCAGTTTTCACTCATAAATGCTTCAGTCCGAGATACTATCAACTCATCTGGTTTCCAGTCTTTTGATTTTTCTTTGCGAATCACTCAGGTTGCATCGTCTTACGCTCGACTACCAGTCGTTAAGTATTTCTGTTCGTTTTCACAACTTCTCATCATAACAGGCGTAATGTTTGCCTTTATTCTATCTATTCGAGTCCGTAAACCTTTAACTTGTTGTTTGGGTTGCGGTACACTTAAGGAGCGACCTGGTTACCACTATTTGCGTGGTAATTTATTGTTGAAGTGTCTTGGGAATTCATGTTGAAATCAATTGTAGGAGATTATGATGAAATCTTTTTCCCAAACCTTGGTGGATAAAATGGTGATCAAACCAGTTAAAAGTCAGGTGTCTAGTCAAGTGAATCACAGCTCTATGTTTAGAAGGCTTGTAAAACTGTACGTTACCAAATATCCTGCTTATTATAACAAAAAGTCTTTGTGTATATGATTACTTTGTGCGTTTTTTTGCATTGATCCGATAGTCTGTGCAGTTTCCTCCAAATGGAAGTGAAAGATGATCGCTTTATTGTCTGCGGTGATTGTAGTGATTCTTTTGAAGTTAATGGTGATCCACATTGAATTTGGCTAGGCTGTCTGCCAAAGCGCACTACGGAATTCGCAGTTTTGCAACTAGCTAAGCAGTTTGGCGATTTGTCTGATTTTCATTTTCCTGTGCATAAAGCTGGTGATCTGCAGGGGTCTACTGTTGGTTATTGTTTTATAACGTACAAGTCAGTGGATGATGCTAAAAAAGCTTGGAAAGCGTAAGTTTGTTTTTCTTACGTTTCGATTAGATAAGCACTGATAAAATTTACTGAGCCAGTGTGACCACACGATGTAAATTCACAACACCAGTAATAAAAGAATATAATTTACTTCACTATATATATGAACAGTGTCGTGTTCTGGAATAGTGGTTGAAGCTCAATTATTTAACAAACTCAAGGTTTGCACAAGTACGAATAAAGACAGTTCTGTTACCTCAAAATAGTGGTTAAGTTAGTTGTATCATTTGTTGGAGTGGCTCTTCAGGGTTGCTGTACCGTGGGTGTCTAGTTTAAGAACTATTGATTTTGTGGGTTGACTGCCTATCTTATTTTGGGAGCTCTGTCACTCCTGGATAAAATGTCAGTTCACACACCAAAGGTTCATTTGACATTTACTAACCTATTTCATTTCTGATGCTTAAGAGATGTCTGATTATCTTCTAACGAATAGATATAATCTGCGTTAATCCACATTGTTGTACTCTGCTCATGTCAAATCTGGTCTTTTAGGCGAGGATTTTCGATGACTATTCTTAACCACTGTTTTCTCCGTAGTTATCAGTAAGGACCCATTCTGGGCATGTGTTACAAGTACGTTTCCGGATATTTGTACTTGATCGGAATCTTGATGCCTCAGGACTCCCTGTTTGGGGTCTTATAAGTCATGGAACTCGATGGCTGCAGACTTTATGAAACATGGCTGAAAATTGAAACTAGTAGTAGTCGCTCTATAGCTTTCTTATTTGTTTTGTTACCGAAAAGTGAGATAAAAGTAGTAAATGTATCTTATGAGAACGCTCTCTGTGTAATCTGTCTGCTTTGCTTTTACTTCTTTTTCCCTTCCTCCCCTCTTTATAACTAATGTTTTAATATTGGTTTACGTAGCACATTTCTTGATACTCTTGCTTTATTAAAATTTGCCTTTTCAATAATAAACATTAACAATGATAAATATCCTAATGGACTGCTACCGACGAATTCTTCCAGAAATTTATTTGCCATTGTATTTCATTTGTTGAGTTGATGGGACCTCTAAATGTTTACTGGAAAGTGGGTCTACTGTGCAACAGTGATTCTTGTGCCAGTATATGAGATAATCGTTTGAAGATGGAAGCCATTTGAAAACTAGAGATTCTTCATCGATGATATTATGAAAGTATTGTCTTCATTTGATTGAACCAATGAGTGAGCTACTTTGTGGTTAGGTTTAAGTGGTACGATCCATCTGATGACATTTTCAGTTTTCACTGGACTTGGGTCATTTATAGCCACCACCTGCACTGGGGTGCGACGCTAATTTCAGTAACAGAAGTTCGAGAAAATCATTACGATACCTCTGATTGTTGTTGGTCTTTAGATGATATAATTCGAAATTGGTTGCTATGTTAACGACACATGCATTCTTAATCTTTGGGTAGTTAACGGATTTGGTTTTATCTCATGTTCTTCTTTTCAGTCTTTGCATTCCTTAACTTCTCACCTTGTTCGTTTGTCGCTGAGGTTATGTTAACTGGTACTTAAATTGTCATTGTGAGTGATCCTAATTTGTTACTCTTTGTCTCATAGTTTCTGGAAATCGTTTTTAAGTTGAAGGTAAAGTTGTGACAATTTTGGAAGCGTGTTCCACTCTGGTTTCAGACCCACCAGGTTTTCCAAGTTTCAAACTAATCAATATTAACTTAAGGTTAGATATTACCCACAATGGTCCAAGTTTCCACACCTCATATCAACACAACAAGTAACAAAGCAGTAAGTCGAAAGATGAAAAGAGAGAGAAAAGGCTCTCAAAAGTAGTAAAAAGTAGTGAGAAAGAGAAGAGAGTAATGAGGAAATTCTGGGTTCTGTGTAGCGTTTAAGGCGCAGATAAAGTGTGGATGCATCTGCACCATTGACCTCGTTTCTACAGGATATCACCTAGAGTCGCTAACCACTGGTTTTTGTTGTAACATGGACCCCAACTGGCTAATGTGACTCTCCCAACATGGTTCAAATCATCAGTCAAGGACTTGATGTAGTGATGCCACATTTTAGTCTGACCATCCCAAGCCTCTTCCCAAGTTTGAAACCATATCATCATGTCTCTTAGTATGTTAGTTTCTATAGTAGGGATTACTACAACAAGAATGTGTAGGTAGCCTTCTGTGATCTGGTATAGTCGTATCCCTACCTCTGTTCATGAAGATAAATACTGTTGTAAAAGATTTAGATGAGTGAAATTCAGTGCCATCTTCAAGTTTGAAAATATTTCTGGTGTATTGTGTGACTTCCTTCATTCTACACAGTAGGAAGGTTGAGCTGAAAATACTCTTTTGAGCCAGTGTGATCAAGTTGATCCAATTTACAAGTAGTTGGTTTGTAGCCTATGCAGCACTCAACCATTGTAAGTGCTCATCGGTGACATAAAATGATAACCAACCTGGAAAGTACTAAGACTGACCCGTCTCTTATTTACGCCCTTTTTAAGGACAATGATAACCAATTATATTTGAAATTATTTAGTTTGGTAAGGCCAAATAATTAGCCTTGACAAGAAATTAGGGATAGACAGAAGGATGGTGAGTTGAGTGTCGCACAATCGCAACAATGAGCCTATTTTTCACTAAGGCATTTATAACTGTGTTTGTTCTCAGTTAATGATCAGTGACTTCATTATCAAGGTGAAATATCATCATACACGCTAGAATTGTTGAACTAATTATCTCTTCCGATAGAGTAAACAATTCCATAACTATTATAGCAAACAGTGAGTGTAGTGAATTGCAACTTGATCAGTTGAAGTTGTTTTGTCTCAACTGGGGAGGTTTTGAACATGTCAGTGAAGTTTCATGACATCTAACGAAGGTTCATACGATTGGGTTTGCATCTCTGCGATTAAGATATTTACTAATAAATACTCGATGACTGATCATGAAATAGGGAGTAACTATATAGAGTAGTTAGAAAATGTGGATAGAATACTATTAGGAGTGTATGTATCCCTTATACTCCATACTTAAAATTTGTATATATTTGAACTGTTTTTCTTCGCGCTCTTTTTCCCGCACATGGGTCACATGTCATATTACCCGTTGAGATTCTGATTTTCTTCTGCCTGTTTAAATGTTCTAATTATTCCTTGTCTTTCGAGGTTACTGTAAACTCTATAAATAGTGTGTTTTCACAAATAAATGTTTTCAGTGTGAGATACTATAAACTTATCTGATTACCAGTCTTTGGATCTCTTTGCTAATTACTTGGGTTGAACCGTCTCAATTATCAATCGTTAAGCATTTCTGTTCGTTCTCACAACTGCATCGTAATAAATACTCCATTTTCTTTATAACTGCTGTGGACTTCACACTCGTATTTAGCTTTCCAACAACCAATACAACTCTCCCAGCAAGTGACAAATTTTGTACTTTTTTTCTGATGGAATATGTTTTGTTTCGCCATTCATCTGTTGAGTGTACATATATTTCTGTGAAATTTAAATTATCAGTGTCATTATTATTTGTCCTTTGGGTTACTAGTGGAACATAGGACTTTAGTAACACGTCCCCACTTCACTCTGTTCTCTGCAGTCTTTTCAACCTGGCTCTGCAGCTGCCCACAAGCTTTCATTTCTTCCTCACATGATCTCCTCCATGCCACCCTCGGACGCCCAACTCCTCATTTCCCCTCTGGGTTCCACTCGAGGGCCTGGCCTGGCATGTGATGTCTGCGAATGGTCTTCTCAGTGTATGCCTAATTCATCTCTACTTTCTTCTGCATATTTGTTAGGCGATGGGTTCTTGGTTGGTTGGTTCGAGTCAGCCGGAGTTCCTTGTTGCTTGTTCTTTCTGGCCATCTGATCTTCAGTATCGAGCGCAGACAGCTGTTGATATATGTCTGTAGTTTGTTGGAAATGCTTTTCGTGACGTCAAGTTTCCGAATGAACCATATAGAAGCACTGACTTGATGTTGGTGTTGAAAATCTGGATGTTGTTCACGCTTTGTGCCGAGTGCAGTGCAGTAGATCTCCACACTGATTTCAGGTTAATGAAAGCCTGTCTTGCTGTCTTCCCGATCCTGGCTTTGACGTCGTCATTTATCCCGCCTCTGCCTGTAGTTGAAACGATGCTGCCTAGTTAGGTGAAAGAGACTACTCCTTTTAGGTTTCTCTCGTTGATGGTGGTTGATGCTTATTGCTGTTGGTGGTCGTTGGGTTTCTTCATCACCTCTGTCTTCTCTACGTTTACCTGAAATCCCGTCTTCGCTGCATCGCCTTTTCTGCCAACTTGTTAGTTTTAGCCCGTAGATCTTCGAGTTTGTGCGACACTAGATATAAATCATCATCGGCGAAATCTAAATCTTCTTCTTCATCAGTCCAGCCAGCCTGTGCCAATCTTCTCACTCCTTACAGTTTGTTGCATGATCCGATCCAGTCCAGTAGACCGCAATCAGGAGAATGATCGGTGATAGTAGGTGGCAACCTTGTCTCACTCCTGTCTTCACTTCAAAGGCGTCACTGAACTTTCCATTGTGAATCACTTGGCATGTAGCATCATATACTATACAGCTGTTATTGAATGAGGTTGATGAAGGTTTGTGACACTAAAATCGTAGTTTTGAAGCAGTTTCCAAATGACTTCTCGGTCGATGCTATCGAAGGCCTTTTAGAAGTCTATGAAGTTGAGGTAAGGAGTTGATTGCCATTCTATGCTCTGTTCTATGATGATACGTAGCGTTACAATTTTATCTGCACATTTGTTTTTCCTGAAGCCAGCCACTCTGTTCCGGTCGTAATTTTGAATCCAGAGCGTTTACCTTTTATTCTCTCCAGGATGATGCGGCTTAGTATTTTGCTTGAAGTAGACAGCAACATAATACCTCGCCAGTTCTTGCAAAGGCTTAGGCCTTCCTTCTTTGGGAGTTTGACAAGGTAGCCCTTCTTCCAGTCGACAGGTATCTTTCCTTCCCTCCTTGCAAACCTTCTGCAGTAGTGGTGTGAGCATGCCCGCTGTTGTCTCTGCGTCTGTTTTTAGTGTTTCTGGAAGAATTCCACCTAGTCATGCTGCTTTCTCGGCTTTCAGCCCCTCGACCCATGATGACTTCTGTTCCCGTGTTATCTGCTCCCAGTTTGGCATTCCTATCACCCATTAGAATCTTGATGTCGCCAACTGGAGTCTTGTCCAGTACTGATTGTAGTTGTCTGTAGAATTCCTCTTTTTCTTGATTTGCATTATTTGTATGTGCATAGCGTTGCATTGTATGATTTTGACTTTCCTTCCTTTTGAGTTGAATCTTGCTGTCATGATCCTGATCTTGGAGGAGATTGGTTACCACTACATGAGAGCCTTTGATGCTCTTGAGCACATCGTGGTAGCCACTCGAAAACTCAGTGTGCTGGTGGTTGTCGTTTGGGTGATAATATCGGAGTAGATTATTGACTCTACAGTTGACAGTTTGAAGAGTCTACTTCCATTTCATCTGCTTTTGCAGATTCCTAGCACTTCTATGCCATGTCTTCCCATCTCTTTGGCAATCTGGCCAGCCTTGTTAGCCAGCTTCAAACATTGTGCGGACATTCCATGTCCTCATTCTTACTTTTGCTTTCATCGAGCGAAGAGAAGACATATCGGCCTATTGGCTTCTCGAAGGTTTTACCAACTGGTATCATTTCGTCTCTCCTATTCCAGTGAGGAATAAGTTTATTTTTATTCTTATATTTACGCTGTGCTTTGAAGTTTCTTTAGCGATTGGATTGGTTTTTCGGGGTAGGGTTGTGCTAGCCGTATGCTATCCAACCTTCCCTCTTTATTCGGGCTTAGGACCGGCTAGTAAACTAGTGAACTTGTGAACTGGGCGAGGTTGAGACTCCAGTTGCATGCTTATTATATTACTTCAGTGAAAGGGTATCATCCATTCATTTGCCAGCTTCAACACAAATAGGGAATAATTATTATTCAGGTTCACTATACCTTCATTCCTTATTTCTCTAGGCCAAAATGACGCGTTTCTATTGCATGATAAAGGTGTGTATCAAATGTTAGCAGAACAAATATTCTCGTAAATTTCAAGTCATATTCCGAATAAATTGGTCCAGTGAAATTTGTGATATGTGCACAACCAGCTTTGCTGATTATTGAATTTGATTGAAACCACTTGTGTTTATAACATTAACCACATTGGCGTAACTTCTTTATTTTAAATGCATTTCTGGCTACTGTTGGTCCTATTATTTTCACTCCACTAAATTCTTTTTTGTCAACCTAACTGTCGATGCATTTCTGTAAAGCATGAGATAATATAAAGAAATACCCAGTCATTGTAGGTCTCGAGTTGAGTTCGTTTACTTTATATTTTAGCACATATTATTTATTGTTTTCCAGTTTCTATATGCTTTCGTGTCTAAAGTAATAAACTTGTGACTGTTATCATTGTGGAACACAGGTTGGATGGTTTGGATTTTCATGGATACACTTTGGTTGCGAGGCCGGCTCGACCAACTCGAGATGAATTGATAGTTGCACAACGTGCTTCGGACGAGGTTACAAAGCTTCGAATAATCGAGGAAGCCAAACAACGTGAAGCGCAATTAGCTACTGTAATGGATGTATGTGATTCAACAATTATCACATCTGGTCATGTTGAAAAATGCTTGGATAGAGCTACCTGTGATGAACATCCTATCCAGTATGTTTTGATTTTCATTTTTGATAGTGTATTCCCTTCAACGACACGAGCAGCATTAGTTAATTTTTTGTAAAATCTTTTTTGCTGGGTTCCATCAAAGGAAATTTGAATCCGGTGTTTCTTGTCTAATACTCTCAAGCATCAAACATTAATCCGTAGTGGTGTTAAGTTATTTATCTGAATGGCTACTCTGGAATGGTGATCGATGGCATTCACTGAGCACCTTGGGATTGAGCAACATGAGCTTGCTTGCTGTATAGCGACCGATCAGTTTACTACTGTTTGCAACAAAACGATAGGATTAATTAACAAGGAGGATAAAACAGCAATAGAATAATTAAGGAAAAGAAAAGTGCTGTTGGTATGGAGTTGTTATCAGTGAATATATCTAGCCATATTAAAATTTATTTAGAAAGCTAGTTCTGGTGCTTTGTTTAAAGAATATTTTGCTTCCTGCTTTTTTCATCCATTCATTTTAGTCCTCCCAAGATGTCAGTCGGTGATACATTTCCCAATTCTTCATCCATGTTGTCTTCCCATATTTTCATACCTGACTTGTATGGGAAACTTGGTCTTCATCAAAATTGCAAGGCGAATTCTCAAGGTCCAAATTTTAAGACTCCTTGTGAGTGTTTTATCCATGGCAGTCATGTTTAATTGTCTGTTTTTGTACCGCATAAACGTCATTATAATAAGGCTTTGTAAAATTTCGAAAAGTTTGCTTGCTATTCCTGAAAAGGTTCATTGAAACAATAATTTTTATTTCGTAAGTTTGAATGAGATGCTTTTGTTATTGCTTGTCTAACTGTTTGCTGTTTGTACGCTTTCACAGCTTAACAATCACCTTTCTCGACATTGATTATCATGACTATCATTTGAATTTAGTGAAAGAGGGATAGATGGAAATATGGTTTCAAACCATGAAATTAACTGTATTAGGCACTGCATTTTGTTTGGTTGAGTGGTTTATTTAGTTGCAGATATAACAATTGTGGTTTCGCTTATTCATTCACTTGATAGACGGATAGATCAACACATAACTTGGTGCAGTAGTGTATCAGTTCAAGTTGCCACACTTCATACTGGCATACCATAAAATTAGGTGGAAGTAAATGAGAGGAAATGGAAGGTGGCAGAGACTGCGTGAATTTCTATCATCGTTACAGATTTTAAGCCATATCACAAAGATTCGCCAATCGTAGATTCCCAGCATCTAGATGGTCTTACTTGGGTAGTCTAAACCTGTCTACATGGCTTGGACCAAGAGTTAGACTTCATGGACTGGTGCCACATCTCGGTCTGGTCACCTTCTCACATACTAACCCTACTTCGCTAATATTACACGTTGAGCTGGGCTATGCCTCGATATGCCCAACATATCTGCAGGCCAACTCAGTTGGTGACAGTTCACAGCGTCATCGACTGACTTATCTTCCTTGCCTCAACATTGTGATCAATAACCTGTAACCTATCTTCTACTTCGAAAAACTATTTCTCACAACTGTGTGGCAAAGCATAGTGGACTGTTGCTGTGTATGCTCGTTCTTCGTTAATTAGTCAGGTGCCATGAGTGGCATAATGCCTGTTGGGTATGGAAGAAAGCCATTCACTTGATTCTCCTCTATACCTCTGACATCATAGTATTCCATGAATATATCCTAATGTGTCATTCTAGTTCATTTTTTAGTTTCTTTTAATAAATCTTCCATATTCCTATTATTGATGTTTCCTAATTTTCTGCTTTGAAGTGTTCCAATTTGGATCAGTCCATTTCAATTCCACTGTGTAAATTTCTGCAGCTGATCTGTATTGTTTTTGACCACTCACTTACTTTTTTATGGGTCAACTTTTTCAAAGAGAGGAGTAGGCGGCTAGCATATTTACTTACTTCACGATTCACCGCGTACTATCAAATTTCCAGTTTTCTCCCCAGTTTTGTCAGCCTTTCTTGGCTTCCTGATAGAACAGAATTTATTTTGTTTTCTAAGACTAGTGCCCAACAACTATGGCATGGAATTTCTGTAATTTATTCCATCAGCTCACCAGATGGAAACGGTGATATAAATTTCGTAGGGGAAATTGAAATTTGACGTCTGATGGACTCATAAAGATCCTGAAGTCAAAACTCGGAATACTGTACTACGAGGGTAGTCTGTGATTCTTGATAACGGAAAGTAGTTACCTGAAATCATGAGGTATTCAGATATTTATGTTGTTATCAAGTGAGTGCAACGGTGGAAATGCGTAAATAGTAGGTAGCTGAATTATGCGACTAACCGAGGGTTATTACTGAGGTAAAACGCACACGTTGTCCAGAACAATGCATATGAAATGGGTAACCAACAGTTGAGAAAGTGCATAAAAAGAACAGGATAGCAGGGGGTAGAGTTTGAAAAGAAGAGGATGGGATACTACTTCGTAACACCGTAACGAAATGATCGAAATAAAAGTAATGCTACTTATCATAAATGAGTAGTATAAAATAAACGTACAAATAAGTGTGGAATGAGAAATGCAGTTACACAATGGAAGACGGAAAGCGTGGAGTAGAGAACAGATTAAACACTATTTAATTTTGAAGACCTTAGTGCTAATTGAGTTTTATTTGCCGAGAAGGTTGATAGAACCCTAATTATAGCGACACAGCATAATGTTTCACTGTGTTCGATTTGTTATGTGATGAGTCCCTTTTTTAAATGGTTTTCATATTTTGACTTTCCTTCTGTTACGACAGAAATGAAATTTTCTCCTAATTTCTATCTTTTTGCCACATGTTTCATGGAAAAGTGACCATTGTGGAGTGTGAATTTCTGTCTATTCTATTGCATTTGCTATTTTTGAAAAGTGTAATCTGGTGGGCGTAATGTAGATTCCATGAACCAACCAGTTGAGTATGAATTATTAAAACCGCTGAACTGTAGCCTAAAGAATCATACTGTTCGGTTTCCCATTGAATAACTCACTACCGACAACCACCTTAATTTTTTCTGCTGGAACGTTTTAATGTAAACAGATAGGTTGACCACCTGTTATTTTGATACCTTCTTATTTCACTAACGGTTGAATCGCTCACGAGTTTGTGGTGACAGTTCCAGAATCCAGTTTCCAGCTGAGCTTTCCCTTATCATGCCACTGATAGACAGTGAATCTCTCTCTCTACTTATGTCTCAACGCTTACTGTTAGATTGGTTGTATGATTTTTTATTTACTTATTGTTTGTGAAGGTATTTTGCTAAAGCCCTATTAAGCTGGTGTTGAGGTCATATTGTGCTTAAAATAGCTGATATGCGTGTGTTGGCACACTGAAGTGTGTGCTTCATGCACTACTACTTGTAATACTGGTTGCCTACCGAAGTAAGTGAATTATTTGTGTGTCCTCGAGCCTTTCTACGTTTCACTTTGCTTCAGTGGATATCAGTTATTGTATGACTTCAACAGTCTTGATTGATTAACCTTTTATCGATCACATAGAATACAACATTTAGCCTATATTTTTAACACACTTTTTTCATTCTTGTGTTTTTTTAACAAAGGAAAACATACATGTATGCATGTGCATCCTGGATTCCACTGCTAGCCACTGCCCATCATTATTACTACTATTGACACCTGTGTTATTTACATTTTTCTTACGATTCCTAAGGAACTTATCAATCAGTTTGAGAGAGTAATTGTTGATGAGAAAGTTTCTCTACTGTATCTGATTTCTTGTCTTAAATCTTATGTTTAACTAGTAAGCTTTTTGGCTCTGTTATCTAGACACTTTACCAGGCCAACTTTAACTGACTGGCGTAGGGTGAGAGGATTTGAAGTCCAAGTAACGATTTGAATATGAAGGCTTTTTGTAGACACTGTTGTCTAAACTCCCATCTTGTTTCAGTTTTATTATGCAATCCAACATGTCCACTTCATCTTTACCATTTTCTAGTTCATTGGATTGCGTTGATTACTGAATTTATGTGTGAAGAAACTATGCACGTTCCCCGATTTCAACACTGTAAACATGTCGTCTACATCTGGGGACTATATTTTTGGATCCGGACTAAATGTTCCTACAGCCATCTGTTCCCAACTATCTATAAATATGTCGGCCATAATAGGAGATATTGGTGATGCCATGGCAACTCCTGTTTGTTTGTATATTTTATTCTGAAACTTAAAGATTGTGGAAGTTAGGCATAGCTGTACTCGTAGCATGGTATCATCTATTGGTACGTTAGCTCGTAGTGTAGGCTCATGGTCATTATTGAGCTCGTTTCTAATTGCTTCCAGAACCATGCCAATCGGTATGTTAGTATACAAACTAGCTACATCAAAACTAACCATTTTTTCATCGTCATCTAGATGTATGTCATCCAATCTACGTTTCAAGTCATAAGAGTTAGTATGTCTCGATTTAGAACGGTTTCTAATTGGACCTAGTAGCATCGCTAAATATTTAGTCATAAATAGTCATAAATAGGAGTGTTTCCAAAGTCTACTATGTGTTTAATAGGATAACTGACTGGTTGATCCATTTTGTATGATCATGGTACAGGATGCAGGTAAATCACTGAAGAAGAGATTTTGCAAGCTGAGCAGTCCATTATGGAGGGGAGACAAGACGAATATAATCGGCGGAATCGGTTATAAAGGCTTGTTGTTGGCCAATCCAGTGGTGAAACAGGCCAAATAATCTTTAGTATCAACTGACAGTAAGCGACGTGATAAACGATGACTGATATCGAGACATGTGGATGAGGGGAACCACAGCAGCTAACGCGATGCTAAGGGCCAGTTGTACAGGGCTTAAAAGTGTTCTGCCTAACGTTCTAGCCACTTGATGTGAGAGGTTATCAGCGTCTAATGTTGCTATAATGTCGACTAAATGCAAAGATTTTGTAATGCCTTTGACTAACACGCTCCACACGATATCCTCATAAAATAGGTAAATAAATATTCTACACTGTGTTAAATTGTAGAACTTCATTAAGAAGCCTGGAGGTCAAACTCCTAATTACTTTGTATTTCTTAACTTGTTTACTTGGAAAAATCTTCTGTAGCAATGACCTACTTATGTGCATACCTGCATCAGCAGTGTGTTGAATTTTGAAATCTCCTCTCTGCATAACATTATTATGAATAGTTGTAAATTGAGCTAGTGAGGTATCACGTTATGTGGCAATACATCGCGTTGTACTATGTTCAGTAAGTGTTACTGGGCAGGTGCATTGCAGTCATTATGATAATAATGTTGTTGATTGTAGAGTGGCGGTGAACAATTAGAATTTGTGTGGTATGCTTAGAAGCATGCGGCTTGTGTTATGTGATCATTGTCCATACAGAAACAACAGAATTTGTGGTATTTTTGGATTTTAATGAGTCTTACTTCTGACTACTTAAGGTCATGTACTTTATTGAAAGTACATTCTTTCCATATTTTTTTGGTTTTTATGTTGACTGACACAACTAGCCTGGTAGATGTGCATGAACATGATGACCACGAACGTTGGCAAGAGTTTGAAGAATAGAGGAGTGAAATGATATCATTCAACTGTGCTGCGGAAATAAGCAACCATGTTAGTCGTTGAATAGTTACTGTTTCACTGCATTGTGTGACTTAGTTGATAATACCCTTGCTGGATTGAGGAGTGATAATAGTTTTTACTCTGTTTTGAGTTGGAATGATGATGGGTTATTTATTTACACGGAGTTCTAGAGCATACTGTTTTCCCCGTATGCTCGAATGCACACTGGAGTAATACAAAATATGCGCGTAGTCTAATGTCACTGCTGACGCAGGATTCGAAATCGTCAGATTCGTATCTAAATGAGTATAAATAAAACTGTCAGTTGTTCTGCAGTTTTGTTCACGATTGACAGACTTGCAAAATCGACTGGAAACACTTCTGCAACCATGTATTGTTACTCATGTTGAAGCTAAGTGTATGCGTGTTTAGCGGGTGTAATTTGAGGAGATAATGTGTGAAATTGTCGTTGCTTTGTGGGTAGAATTTAAGAATGACTTGTCGAGTATTTCGGCAATACTGGGACTTTATTATCTGTATGACATGAGTTTGAAAGCAGTTGACCCAATTCAAAGTGTGCTGGAGGGTTCTGTCAACAGTCAGTTAGTTTAAACACAACTTGTTCTGAAGAATATTTTGTATATTTGAACTCGGGTGGAAGAAACCTGTGACTGAAGCAAGTAGAAAGCACCTATTGCGCGTTTGACAATGATATGTAGGTAGAAGGTCAAGATGACATGTTGACCCAGGAAGAATACCTGATGTGTATTATCTGACATTTCTGTACATAACTGTTTCGTGTGTTGTTCGATTGGGTTGATTCAAGTGTACTATTCTTGTTGTTCCATCTTGTTGTCCAGGTGTTGCATGAAATTGTGGGCTGAATGTAGCCGGATGAACTATTTTCGCCGTAGGCTAAGGTGAGTTCATCCGGTGTTTTATGTCCTCCTGCCAGTGTCAGTCACACTCAATCTGACACAGTTTTGTTAGCAGTTGTAATACTCAGCATATGCAGCCAGCACTTAGCGGAGCGTTCACAGACACCATTTTATTGATTATGAGACCGCCGGATAAATGGAGCATGGAAACAATAGTACAGCATTGAAACGGAGAGTGATTCACAGGAACGAACTCCAGTGTCATGTGAACATGGATGACTGACGGTACTACTGGATGGTGGAGAATGTTTGCATGAATGTTTATTATTTTGGTAAATTTAGGGTGCCAAGTGGATAAGAAGTGGGCATATCGGAGTTTGATCCTCTATGGACATACGCCACAATCGCGGAAATGATGTTGAAGATGGCGTTCAAAATTGCAACTACCAAACACAGATACGGATTGAACAAAGAAGACAGTTATGTGTGACTGCACATCTCATTTGCCTTTTTCAATCCTCAAAGATCACAGTGACATCTGTCAGACATGCTAGTCAAGAATCAACAAATAGCCGTCACTGCTCATTCTCCCTGATGTTTAGGTTGCAGTTGGTTGGAGTGTGTGCAGAGATAGGACGAGTAAACAGCTTCTTCTGCTCTTCACTCCCTTCCATCATTTAATCTTCTTACCTGATAGTAAATATAATTGTGTCAATGCTCATCCAGTATGTGTACCAATTGGTCCTAGACTGTAAAGCTTAAGAGACCATTGACTCTAGCGAATGCCAGTACTTCAAGCCACAATCTCATCGATGGATAGTCACGCATGATATGTGTATTTTGAAACGGTGGGAGATGAATGCATTCACAGTAATACACTATCACGTCTGATTATAGGCGAAACGAGTACAGTATACGCCAATATCTTATCTCACACATTTGTAAATTGCTTCAGTCTGACCGAGACATACATACCTGTTAGTTTTGTGAGATATTTTAGTTTACATTGAGAAATATTCACTGCATGAAGCACAAATTACCGGTCACTTCTATTCACTCTAAATGCGGTCTAAGCTTATGTACAGACGAAGATTACCAAGCCTTCGACAATGGCATCGATAGAAGATTGAAATAGTAGTACAAACGTATATTGTGCTGTGAGACGTCGTGTTCTCTGAAAGAAAATAATTGAAACCACACCACAGATTTAGGGCTACCGACATTTATGATTATTGGAAGTGAAACATCAACCTGCATTGCAACTGGATTGGAGCCGGTGGGCCATTTGATTACTTGTCTGGGGCGTTACAAGTTGAGCTTCAATATCAACAGCATTTCCAGCCAGTATTTTGATGTGATGAGTGGGACGACTGAATTTATCAAACAACAGTATTAGTGTTGTTCTGCAGCTCAGAAATACATTCAGACAAAGATGGCGACTGTTGTGGACCCAGTTGCTGTACAACAATGAGTGTCTATCTCAGCACTTCGAGGTGTGAATCTGTCTGCAATTCAGTCCTTTGTTCACTGTAATTTCACCAATGTTGTCAGAATATTTCAACACTTCAATCCCTGATGTATTTTGAGGATTTAGAAAATTCGGTTTTGATTGTCCTTATGTGACCAAATCAACAACTCCCTCTTTCTCAGACTGCCAGCTTAAGCCAGATTGTTCTTCTGTGATGTGGAATATGAGATGGTTTGGTAAAATGAGTGGCGTACTAATCTTCAAAGTGAAATGAGCCTTCTACTCTGATCTTAAACCCCTAAACTAAGGTTAACAGAGGAACCAAATGGCGACTTATCCTACTGAGTGTTGTATTGTCTACGAAGTTTATTCATGTTAATTAATAAGCATTCTTGTGTCAACGTTAACCATAGTCACAAATTGTAGCAGTTACGGTTTTGCCAGGTCGAAATGTTCTGTTTACTACTCGGTGTCAACATTCTCTTGTAAATCTGCTATTTGAAAGCACACAAGACAATGTGAAGTATGTGTATATTTGGCGAAGCCTTACTTTTCACAAATTTTTGAGTGTGAATTATTTGCAGAATATGGGCTGGTTAAGTGTCCAGATGGACAGTGATTCCTTTAGTCCATTTACTGTTTACCATCAGAACTGATGTATATTTGGAAGTGTGAATTCACGGCATAACAAACAGCTTGTTGGTGTACAAACGTTAAGGCTGAAAGAGGAGTAGAAGGTTTTCTGGGATGTTATTTTCTCAGACAGTCGATGACCACTGCTATACGAGTGAATATTTGAACTCAGTACACTCTTTTAACAAGCTGAACAACAAGTGGTTGGTTGATTTATTCAGTTTCCTTCGATCGATCCACAACTGTTAAGCTGTGCTGTTCTCTTGTTCACTGTTTCACTGTAGTGTGATTCTCTTCTCTGGCTTTATCTGGTTCAGGTGTCTCTGTGTAATGTTTATCGGTGCCAGTGAATTTCATACTTGTCAAGTTGGACTGCTTTTACTTGAACATCTCAGACGTTCTTCATGAAGCGAACTACATCTCCCAGCGTCAATGTAGTTTGGTTGTCCTCATTCGCGCTACTCGAAGAACTTCACCTGATTGACTCTTGAATTTTTCAGTTAGGTAGGTCTACTCGCCTCGATTTCCTTCAGCGTCGAATGCTTATCTTTGTTTGGTTTGATATGCTGTTTGTACAGCAGTAGAGTTGGTTACTGCCTTAGAACCATAGCCTTGAGAGAATCGTTGTTTGTTGTTCAGTGATATTGTGAGATCTTGGGAATATTAGTTAAGTGCAAGAGTGTCACTGTGTACCATTTTGAGTGGATGAAACTGGCATGTAGTTATTCGATGGCAGCGTGACTGCAGTCACGCTCTTAAAAAATGGATCTTCAAGCAACTGATTTGTATTCAGTAACAGACTTCATGAATTCGTGATTGGGCACACATGTAGAAGTCTTTCTGCAACTACTTAAGTGGTTGGAAGTTTCAGTGCTGACTGAAATATTTATTTCTGAGTTTCACTTGCACAATCTGCTTTTTTATTAAACTGTAACTTATATTTACGGCGGAGGAATTTTCCAGGGGGTTTATCATGAATTTCTACGTATGGGTTTTTTCTTCTTCATTTTTGACATTTTTTGTTACTCCTTATTCCTCTGGTTATTAGTCTATCTTAGTTTCACTTTTCTTTGCTTTGATGTCAGTGTCATCGTTGGAATGATCCAAGATAACATTCATAAAGATTAATCGCAATTTTCGCCATGTAACTCTTGCTTTAATAATCATTCTTTCGCAACGAATCTCTCCCTAATGCACAAGGTTACTTAGACAACTGTGTCAAATGTACTACGCAAGAGTTGTTTAGTTTGCTTACAATCCATTGTTATCATAAGGACTGTTTCAAACATGCCTGAGAAGAATATGATGGTAGGTATGGGTTTAACGTGGATGTATTTTTGTGTTTTCCTTCGTTAAAAGGCTGATGTTTGTAAATCAGTGGCGAATTCCGTTTCTCTGGGCTTTCCAGACCTAGTGCGTGTATCATATATCTTAGACTTGTTTTGTTTTCTTCTCATCATGAATCTGTGTCAACAGTCCCTAATTTAAGTCGGGTAGATCTGATGGCCGTTACGACTTATCATTTTACTTACCACAGGAAATTATTCTTATGAGTTAAATGACCGGATGAAAACTACAATGAATATTGTAAGAGGGGAATAAGGCGCTTGTTCAGTTGGTGGATCTATTGATTGGAGATACCTGAATGTTGTGGATCACATATTCACAGCAGTAATACATAACAATGTTCATTATTTAAGTATTTGTATTTCCCGGAGAACTAAGAACCACATACGGTTGTTTTTGACTGGTGTTTTGCTATCTATTGCTAATAGGTGCATCAAAGTAATAAGTGGTAAACAGAAATTTGCAGTTATCAAGCTAATATGTAGTGATTTGGTTAGTGTTATTCTATATTTCTGTTTCTGTTTCTGTATTTTAAGGTGGTATTCATGACAGGCTGATATCATTTGCAGAACCAGTGAATACCTGGGAACACCGAACAGCTGTTTCTTCCTAATCTGAATCTCAACAGCTCCCCACACACCTTCAGACTCAATTGCTGTCCAGTGCTGCCGAGGATATAATGGTCATCTAACTTGTGTTAGTCCGTGTTGAATACCAACAAGAGATCAATAAATAAATCCTCAGAAATAATAATCTCAGCACTAAACAGTTTTCATTGGGAAGAATTCAGAGGCTAAAATAATGAATGTCATGCCCCTAGTGGCTAAATCTGTATCAAAGCATCAAATCCAAACTTGATTTCGATGTGTATAACTTTACACATCAATATTTTCCTTCACTATTAGTTCAGGATCCTTTATATTGCATATCTAAATTTTGTAAACTTAGTCAAATTTATTGAAATGTTTTACTGTAAGGTTACAAAACTGTTGCTTATTTTAAATGCATAACATTGTTACATCAGTTGTATAATCTCCATTTCCAACAGTCTGATTATATATTAACTCGTCATGTTGTTTCATATATGAAACTAAAATGGAATAGAAATAGTATCCGTTAGGATAACAATGAGTAGAATAAGACGATAATACAGAGAGAATTTGTTTTCTGCTCTATTATTAACATAAAATTAAGGTAGAGCTGACCGAAATAGGTTGAATGTAGGAACAAATTGATTTTGAACACTTGAAGTGAATGTCTGAAGTCTTTGTTTGGTCAGGGATTCAGAAAATCTTAGCATATACCCTCAGGAGTTTCTATAGTAAATTTAATATCTTCGTTTCATATTAATCTTATGATATACTGCGGCAGTGTGTTTGGCTGTAGATTACGATGGCTGTCTATCATTTTTGTTTACCGGAAACGGTAAGCAATGTAATTAGGATATCGGTTGCACTACAAGGGAATATATTATTGAGCACTCGATGGAGATTCCTGTGATAATTCACCGATGAATAAACGATATTCAGCAATGAGGGCAGAGGACCTTAAGGTTTCTGTGTTAGAATGTTGTGATTTAGTTGAATCATGACAT